GATATGGATGTAACTTTCTCTGGAACTCGAGAATGTCGATTCCTTGAGGTAAGAGAAAATATTTAATTTAATGATGCGGTTAAATAATTTATCATTGCTGATTATTAATTATTTGAACATAAGACTATTCTTGAGGCGGTGGAAAGTGGTGATATTGAAAGTTTTACTAATAGAGTGGTGGAATTCGATCAACTTACTAAGTTGGATAATTGGAAAACCACTATTCTGCTAAGGATTAAAAAAAGCATTCAAGAAGAACCACTTCTGACTTAATAGACATTTGCATCAATTATCTAATTCTGGTATTGATTTTTGAGGACGATGAAAGTTCAAGAATGTTGGACCAAAGAAATATATCTTACCTTAATAAGGAGGCAAAAGATTCATAATGTAGTATAAAATTAAACAAGTAGCAAATTGTCAAATGACTGGGACTTTTGACGTTTAAAGGTTTCTTTTTTATTTTAAATTTTTGTAGACAATATATTTTTAGTTGAGATCATTGTATAAAAATCAAGATCTTCAAATATTTATTTCAATTGATTATTTTAAATAATCCGTTTAGTAATCTGATCGTAAAATAGACTCTAATGCTAGTTAAACGTATAAAGAACGATGATTTAAAGATTATGACAAAGAACTCGTGCTCTCTGTTATAAATTTTAATGAGAATTTGTGATCTGTAAAGGACCCACTTAACATAAGTTAACTTCCAGTATGAGCTTAAACAGTGTCGTCGTGAAAGGACCATTGAGTTTGTTTTGGGGAAGCCTTTGCAGTTTTCACATAGTGATTGTTGTCTGGCGGAGGCTCCTTGCTCGTACAACTTGACAACATTGATTGTATTGAAAGACAAATAGACCTGACACTTAGAACAGGGCTCCATTGATTATATAAGACATTTAAGCATATATGCCCATTGCTGTAAACGTGTGGATGTATTGGTATATTTCCTACGAAAACCACTTCTGGAGATTCCATTGGATAATTTGGTGAAAAACGAAACTCCAAGGCAAACCGTTCACCTGCGTACAAAGTTCCATCAACACCTTCGAGAGCTAATTTCCAACTTTTAAAGGTTTCGGCATCCTCTATCGCAATTCCTGCAGGTGGGTTGATTTTAAGGTCGACTAGTTCTTTGGAAAGTCGTTTTACAAAAAGTGCAGAAGACATTTCAAGAATAGAATAACCCTTTACTCGTTTCTGTTCTACGCATATTTACGATGAAACACGTGAAAAAAAATCTAATTGCCATCTGTAATGACAATTTGCCAAATTTTCACGTTACAAAAACAAAAATTTTTTTTAAAAACAATAATATAATAATTATTTTTAAATCTATTGAAACATTCTTTTTGTTAATTTTCTGATTATATACAAAAGACATTTACAAGAAATTTTTATATTTTTTGACTAATAAAGTCTTATAACTTTCTTTAAACCAACTTGAAAGAACACTTCAAGAGTTATTTTTATTTCCCTCCTTCCTCTTATAAACAATCTTCTTCAAACAAAAACCTAACTTTTAGTGACAAAAGTCATGAATATACTTTTTTTATCAATAATAGAAAAATTTTGAAAGGAAAAAGAACTGAAGTGTTGCTATCTACTTACTTGCTAAAAAAACAATACAGGACTTTTCTAGTGATGAGAGACTTATCTTAAAGGTAACTATCTATTTTTTTGTTATGTATTTGCTCTAATAGTAAAGATGAGTTTTTCTAAAGGAAGAGGTAAGAACAAAAGTCAAATGTTTCTCACTAGGAAACATTAAAATTTTTAAATTAATAACTATAAAAAAACTATACACAATTGTTCTCTATTATCTAAATCATTTACTTATAGCATTTCTTGACTTTTGTTCCTATTAAAGTGAAGAGCTATAAATTTTATTCTTCAAAAAAGGATATAAATAATCTGTAAAATTTTATATATTAAATACTTTAGGAACCCATCATTATTTAAAAGTACTCTTTCTTGATTTTTTTTAAAGAATTTTGCCTATTTCTGTTTGACCCTAAATTTTAAGCAATACAAAGTTTCTTAAGCTGTAATTGGTTAGTATAAAACATATTAGTAAAGGAATATAAACATGTTTCTATTGATTATTACACATATCTAAATACACTTTTTCAGTATCTATAAGAATCTGGATTCATTATAAGTCATATATCTATAGTATAAGTAAATACAGGACATGAATATTTATAATATAATTGACTATATGAAAAAAATAGAGCTGGATTAGGACACATTAAATAGAAAATATTAGCTTTTTTATTTTTCTTCTTCTACTCTAGTGAACTCAAATAAAAAAAAAAAAAATTATATAGGATAAAATCCTTTTAGAAGAGTTTTGGATATCTATCATCTTTTTTTCAGAAATATATCTGCTATCTTATAAATAACAAAGTATCTTTTCAAGAATAATACCAGTTAACACTTTTTTTTTTAATATAAAATTTTTAGTGAAGTGTCAGTAAAGATTAAGGTTTCACATAAAAGATCCCTAATATCAATTATGCTGGATACTTTAGGTGAATTCTTGCCATATTAGCTTTCTCGTTTTAAGAATAACAATAAGTTACTTAGTAGATTAAGGTTTGAGCTGTTAATAAAGATCCAATAGGATTAAGATTCTAGGAAGCACTTATATATATAATAGAAAAGTAATATAGTTTATACATCATTCTTATTATTAATTTTTGTATTTTATTTTTATAAATAATTAATCTATGTTATATGAACAAAAGTATTGCATATCATAAAATTATTATTATATAAAAATATACATAATAACTTTATTTAAAATTTTAATAAGACTTATGGGTCTATAGCGCAGTGGTAGCGCTTCCAGGTCACCAAGTACTGTTTCCGAGTTCAATACCACTCACTGCAAAGCAGTACCACCTAGCTTAGGTGGTACAGAAAGATCTCATCTGTCTCATGATAATGATAACTACCACCTTTGACCAAGATCCCGTTCAATCATGGGATAATCAAAAGATCACAAGATGCTTTAACTAGTTTTAGTGTTGAAGCCACCTCATCACAAAGACAGGTTCCAGCAAAACTCTTGCAAATAGGCTGAAGATCTGTTTGCCATAAAAATTCAGGAACTAACGGTGTCTAGGTACATTAGCATAAGAAGAGGATCTCTACCAAATTCGACAACCCATCCAAGACTCCACGTGATCACCCCATAGGCAGACTGTAATAGGTCATGTAAAAAGGGTACTCAAATAGAATAAGACAATATCTAAGACTTCACGTGAATATTCCATAGGCATATTATAATAAGTAGTGTAAAAAGAATATTCGATGGGATGAGATATGAAAGGGGTCTCAGGTCTAAACCAACCAATAGGCAAGCACACATGATAAGGGCCCGAACGTAGATAGGGGGGTAGTAGAGCTTCTTCCGGCAACATGCCATATGGGTCACATGAAAGACTAGGACAAATGAGTTTATTGTAATAGTTAGTCACTATTCCAGGGAAAGGTGGGGTCGAGTTATAAAATCTGAAGTAATATAGCCTTTACTATAGCTTTAATTTAAATTGTATCTCATTAAATCATTACTACAACTTCAATAAAACTGGACCTCTGTATCTCCTGTTAAAAAAAAAAAAAAAAAAAAAAATTTTAATATATTATTATTTATATTTTGAAAAAACACGTGTCCAATTTTCATGTTTTTTCAATAGGTAAACATTAAATTAAGTATAAATACATCTACCTTTTCAATATATTTAATTTTAAAAATATATCACTTAACTGAAAGTCAATGTGATGAAATTATAGGTCTCTATAAAGATAAGCAATCCTTATTAAAAATTTTAAAACTTCTTAAAATTCATAGAACAACTGTTTCTCACACAATTAAAAATTATCTTAATAGAAACAATCTTGCTACTCTTCCTAAAACTGAATATCCAAAACTATTGACTTCTAAAAATAAAACTATTTTAAAAAAAATTGTAAAAAAAAATAATAAGAAATCTGTAGAACAAATTGAAAACAAATTTAAAAAAAACTCTTTCCGCTAATCCTCCTTTTTCTTAAAAATTTTCCTTTTTTGATAATTTTTGAAAAAAGCAAACTTGGTCAAACATATAAGAAAAAACAACATATCCTTCAAACCAAGCTATTAAGCTTTTGTAACACACATACAACAAGCTTTTTAGAAACATCAAGAAAAGAGGTATATACTGTTTTACTAATTTTCTTTTATTTCTTTTTCTTAAAATTTTTAGGAGAAAGAAAAGAAACTTGCAAACTGATTCATAGTTAGAAAAAGGGAGCCAATATCAACTTCATACAGCTTATAGTCAGGCCAGTATAAGTTAACACCTTTCTTGACACTGCAAGGAACTCAAGAAACAACTAAGTTTACTTGATAAATCAAGTTACTTTAGTCACTCAAAGGCCCAAAAAGATATCAAAGCTTCTTAAGGACAAGACAGTCTAAACGTACATATATACATAAACAACATATCTATTCTTTATCTTGCTATGCGAACACAAACACATAAAAGTGGATAAGCAAAACAAGTATATATATAAAAACAATAAACAAGATACACATATACATGTACAATTTGTAATCTAAACAAGTTGATTGACAGTCCACACAAACATGACAACAATTTGCAAAATTTGAATAAGATCTCCAATATTAACAAATAAATAGATCAAAACAACACAACAAGGTTTTTTCATATTACTTAATCAAAATATAAACAATAATAACTATAGAAAGGTTTATCTGCGATCTAAAAATAGAACAACTGATAAATACAAACAAGCAACCATGTGACCTATTAATAAATCTAAACTAGTAGCAAATATGAATAGGGCACAAAGTATATTACAGATAGTCAATAAAAAAGAAGAGGATATAGTAAACACATTAATCAATCTCTCACTAAAATATGACAAACACTCTACTTTATAGGCTTCACAACAATTGTTAAAATAAAGAAATAATAAATCCAGTGGACTAGTAGCCTTGCCATCAGAAACATTTACTATTCTAGATAGTATTATAGCTAAGATACTAGGAGTAGATGTGACAACCTTTCACAAAGAATGAATCCTAACTCAATATATCACATATCTTTGACAACAAGGCAAAGGAATTAAAGAAGACCTCCTACAACCCTATATAGAAGATAAGCTTATGGAAATTATCAAGAATCCTAAAAGTCAATATAAATCAGAACAACAACAATGGAAATCATTGAACAAAAAGATAATAAATCAACAAATAGACAATGAAGCAACAATAATATGTGTACAGGAGATCAAAAAACTGGAATTACAAAAACTCCAAGAAATAGTTAAAAAACAATGCATCAATGAACATAAGTCTTATATCACCAAGAATAGAGTCATGGCACCATCAACAAATTCTTACTTCATTAAAAAAAAAGGAGAGTATAGATTGGGTACAATGATGGTCAATATTTCAAGAGAAACAGAAAATGAAACCAAGGCATATTTAAGCAATATTCTTAAAGTTCCACAAGAAAAAAGAAACCTGTTATAAAAAGAATTTATTAATAGAAATGAGTGGTTAGTTTTCTGGGTACAAGAGAAAGAAGATATCATAAGATCTATTGAAGAAGTCAACCAAAAGGAAGACAACTTCATTATCCAAAATATAACACTATTAACCATTTATAAGAAACAAAAGACAAAAAGAAACCTAGACAAAAAAGCTTTTCAAGAATTCAAAACCAAAGAAGACAGTACTATCTGGCATATATGTTTGGTAGATATAGACCAGAAAAATACTAATAACCTTATAAAAGCACATCTAAAAAGATATGGAGAAGTTCAAAACATTTATATCTATGTGGTAAATACAAAACCATAGGTGAAAGCTTATATCAAATAGCACAAATATCTTAGCCTAAATCCTGAAGAAATTTGGATGACTTCAATTAGTACAGAAATGTCAAAAGCTATATTCTTCAAGTCTGAGCATAGTGATAATGAAATCAATCAGATATTAATTGAAAGAAATGACAACTCAGTAAGACTTTTAGATACTGACAAAACCTATACCAGTCTAATAGCCTGAGCATTAAATAGTATACAAACTAAGGCATGCTATACACCCAAAAATCCCTATACACTCAAGAAGTGTAACTTTACAGTAGTTTGCT